TATGTAATAAAGTATATTTTATTTACTTTATTGAGTTTGACAATAACAAAATAGAAACTCGAACATAAAATGTACGTTTAAATATACCAATTTAATAAGAAAACAAGTCTAATTGTACATAGCTGAGTTGGTGTGACGTGTATAGTTTTATTGAAGAATAATAGTTTTATTAAATTACAGTTAGAGCCGATATTTGCCTATGCATTTAGCATGTTTTGCACTTGGTAGGTAGAAAAGCTTCGTTGTACTATCGTTTTACGTTTTTACAGAATATTTGAAATACATTTAAAATTTAGTGCTAAAGTATCGGGTGGTCTTGTTAACCATTAATTCGTATTGATAAATTCGTAAAATAAGCAATGGTAATTCATTAACCTTAGACATAACTAGGGGGGGGGGGTAAGAGAATACTTTTAGCACCCCGGTTTTTTTTTTTTAGACGGTGAATCACCATCGATTTTCAGCGGTTTCAGCACCCCCGTTCGCGCCTTCCGCGATACGTGGAATCCTGAAGAAAAATTAAACGAAAACTAAGTAGCGGCATTATCAAATCACGCGCCCGTCACAATCATAGATAATAGAAAATTATCTATGGACTATCTATGGATATACTATGGATATTATCTATGGACTATACTATGGATTATCTATTATCTATGGACTTAATAGTCTTGCAGTTCTAAACATAGAAGCTACTCTTGCAAAGAGCTTAAACTACTCAGATGTGATAAAAACATTTGCAGCAAAACAAGCAAGCAAGAAAAAAAAACTGAAGTAATGATTTTATAAATTAAAATGTATTGAATAGTATAAATATATTTTATGTGTATATTACCTATATTCTGTTATTTGTTACCTATTATAATATATTAATAATTACCAGTCACTGCATTTACTTGTTTTTTTTTTTTAATTATATTTATCTATATACCAAATTAGATACCACAAATCCTTATAATTAGTATTAGTAGTATTACTTACCAAATAGTTTTAAATTAAATTATAAGCAAAATGGGGGGTGCTAAAATGTTGTTGTCTATGGGCGCCAAAATCTTAAATACGGCCCTGTCGTTCAGGATAGTAAATAATTTTTACATATTACTAATAATCCTCAAAATTAAACTATTAATACTTTAAATACTGTTCACTACGAACAAATGAAAGAAAATAGATCTCGGTTGAAACCAATAATTGACACATTAATATTTCTTGGAATAAAAAATATACCTCTATTTGAGGACATCGTCGCGATGATAGTATATTTGACGATTCTCAAAAACCTACAGAAAATAACGGAAATTACAAGGAATTATTAAATTTCAGAATTTCATCTGGTGATGAGATTTGAAAAAAACATATTTTAACTTCTGAGTCTAGAGCCACTTACATTAATAAAATTACACGGAATGAACTTTTTCTCTTATGAGTATTATGATTAAGCACGCGCGAACGCAATTACAATTCACCTCAACCCGATGAAATATTAAATTATCGAATTATCGATATTACGTACGTTCGCGTTCATCTGGACTAGTCCAAATGGATATTGCTATTTTTAATTCGTCGTTTTACACTCGCCATTTTTTTTTCTCGTTATTTCGACGGTATACCCGGAATACCGGCTTCCTAAATAGGTAATGACCGGGAAAAACGGTTAACAACGTAACAACCGTTTTTACGAAAGTTATCCTTGTTTTCTCAAATTTTCTTGATCAAATCTATTCGCAAACGACAAACCGTCGCTGTAACATAAAATGTTTATGCACGCGTTAAATTATTTCGAAAAATATATCTCTTGAGCAAGTATTAAAATGAAAATCACGAACATCCACATAAATCAAAAGTTCTAATTGTAATTAAAAAAAAAAAAAAAAAAAAAAACAATACCTGGAAAATAGGAATACTTTTGCTACTTTTGCTGAGAAAAATATATATACTTAGATGTTGAGTGTTAAGAAAAAAATAATTGATAGTGTAATATATAATGTATTTCTGTACACCCTATATTTATATGATTTATATTTTAAGCAGCCTAATTTTATCTAAACAGTTTTTTCATACACAGCTACAACTTCTGCATAATATTATTAAATATAAATTATTCGGGTAGAACAACGGGTACCAACATATTATTTGTCAGCATTGTTCTAATGCCTAAAAATATTATATAAAAATAGTTTCATCTAATTTTATATAGACTATAATCATTATTTTTTTTTTCAGCAGCTAAAAAAAAAAATAACTTTGAGTTCTACGTAGAATCTTAAATCTTAATTTATAACATACTATTATACTTATTGAAATTTATTTAAATAAATAATACACAGGGGTGCCTTTTTAATCAACATTTAGGGGCGCTAAATTAATTATTTCAGTGACCCACTAACTCATATGATCATGGAATACATATAATGAATAATATTGAGTATCTTTCCCTTCCCTACCATTTTACAGAAAATAATCACATATTTAGTGATTTTTATTTTATTAACAAAATACAAGTACTAATTAATAACAAATTAAATAAATTGTAAGGATTATATTAATTAAAAAATAATTATCAACCTCTCCCCTCCAATTGTGCCTATATATATATATATATATATATATATATATATATATATATATATATATATATATATATACATGTATATAAAATTTAAAACTAGATAAAAAAACAGCATATACAATCTTAACCATTTGAAGAAATGATATTTGATAATTTTAGTATGTAAGGTAAACAATATTTCCCAAATATTACAATTTTATGGTTATATTATCATTTTAAAAATAACAATATATATATGTTATGTTTTTGATGTTAATTTAATTTCAAACGGGTGGCCAAACAACATTATATAAATATTAATATATTATTTAATCAAAATATGATGAAATTCAAATGATTAATTAATCTCATCATTAAAAAAATAATAGCATATAAACGATTAAAAAATGTTATCTTGCTATCTGGGACTGTAGGTATATACTGTTTTTTTCTTCTTTTTTTTTCATACATTTTTCAATTGAATTATCCGGTCAAAAATATGAAATTTATTTATTTAGTAAAATTTTAATGGATAATATTTACAAATTGATATAAAAATATACTTAATTTTTCTAACTCTAAGCAAAATATATCTTGCTTACTAACGTTGTAAAGTTTAAAATCACGTTTTTTTTCTTGTTAACACCTATCTTAATAGTATAAGTGTACCTACACAAAACATTGTACAGAGATGTGTTTTAAATATAAAATTTAAGATTGGTAGCTCTGTGAGAAATGCATTTTTTTAGTAATTCTTCTGATAAGTAAAAAAAAAAAAAATTTGGAAAATTATTGGAATTATCTATTAGTATAATCATTGATTATAAAATAAATGTTTAAGTAACTTCAAGCATCTCAATATCTTAGTATCAAGATGAAATTATCATTGATTTAATTTCTAACTACTTACTAATATGAAGAATTAACAACATTTTCTAGAAAATATAATAATAAAACTCATTACGTTATAAAAATTGTATAATGTATTTATATTTTAAGTTATATAACTATATAATTTTTCAAATATTTTACCTCAAAAAGGTCATAAGCAATAAAATTTCAGTACAATAAAGATAATAAATTTAAAGAATACTCATTACATTTGATTCAATTAAAAAAATAAAATTGATACAGACATTAAAAAATAAAATTAAAATAATATTTTTTTCTCAGCTTAAATATTATAAAAATTCAGTCAATATTACACATTTCATTAAAATCACAATTTTGAAGTTCATTTTGATAAAGTTCTTTAAATTTGTCATATGAACAAAGAATATCATCGCAGCCTTTAAGATGGATAATTCTTTCTTGATGTAAAGTCAATATCTTTGATTGATTCTTGTTACACCTACAAATAAAAATTATAAAAATCAATACAAAGAAATAAAGGTGTAACATTAATCTCGTACTCATATAAAACAAATGCTAAGTTTGAAGCAAATGCATCAATTTTTGAAGTCCTCCATTGACGATTTTTCATTTCTATATAGTTATCATGTTTTAATTCATTTTCATCTTTAAAAAGGCCCAACACTCCAAACATCTTCAAAATTGTTCCAGAGTGTGTAAAATAGAAAATGCCATTTTTGCTATTCAAATCTTTATTGCTATACATGAAAAAGTGAATTATTATTACTAAAATTACTAAATATAATGTTTACTTACTCAAAATGTTCAATAGCATTTTTTAATAGAACACAAGCTTGTTTGTATGTTAGTTGATAAGTATAACCATCAATCAAATAGTGCTTTAAATCTTCACTATATTCAAACAGCTGTATAGAACAACATTGTTAGTATTATACAATGTATATAAAGGAAACAATGTAAGAATTGTTTTAAAAAATTACCTCTAAGTCAGACTTATCAAAAATCGAACACCAAGGTGAGACTTTATTTTTTTCCCAAGCAGTTTCAAAACCACAGTATATGTACATACTCTTGACATCATCTTAAATTAAAATTACTTATGTAATTTCCAAACTAAGCAATGAAACTAAGGAACATATTTATACTAACTAAATGTTAAAGTGTAATCAAGTCCGAGTCTAGTGGATATACTGTTTAAAGTTTCGTTGGTTAATTGATTTTCGATAAACTTCTGATATTCAATAGAAGCAGTAGGAGATTTTTTCACATCATTTTTCCATTTTTGGCAAACTTTGTAAAACTAAAAATATTAAAAATAAAGATTTGGAAAATCAATAATTATCATATTTTAAATTACATAATGATATAACACAGTAAATATTTAAAAGTATATATACATCAAAAGTTCAAAAATGACAGACAAAATCAGGGGTTGGCAAGTAATTTCTATTGAAGTCTAGAAGATAAAAATAATTAATAAACAAGGTCTAAAGAGAAAAACAATACTTTAATATATAATATATTTACTATTTATTATTAGTCTGTTTTAAATTAATATATTAAAGTAAGATATGTTGATCAGTTACTGACTAATGGAATAAATTACCATTTCAATAAAATTCTTATCTAAACTATTTATGTTTAATATTGTACTTCAGACTTCTTTAGAGACACATTTTGTTTTATGTTTTTACCTTAATGAATTAAAATTAAAATAAATCAAATTATAATTTGATCTAATCTAACTTACTCTCAATAATGGGTCTTTGGGAAGTGGATCATCAAATACCACTTTTTTGACTTCGTGATGTCCAAATATACCAGTTGCAAATTGTTTAGCACTTACATTAGTTCTTTGAGTACCGGTGAACCTAAACTATACAAATAATATTTTATAATGCCAACAATCAATAATTATTTAACAACAAAACTTTACCAGAAAATTTGTATTTTCGAAAGGTTGATTTAACAAATTAGGAAATCTAAGTTGCATACGTTCAGCAATAGCTAAAAGTTCATCCTCTCCTTCTTTAGTTAATCGCTTTAGGTCATCTAATTCTTTATGAGAACTCCACGCTTTTATCTCGTCTTTATTACATAATTTGCCTTGATGAAATTACAGTACAAATTATTATTTACTGCAAAGTCATTGTATGATTTGTTAAGAACAATGTAACTAGCTATTAACTAATCTTATCTTGTAGCTTAAATAAATTAATATTTTATATGTTGCAAAAGATTAACATCCTTATATTAAAACTATTATGTTTGCTATGTTATAAGTATGAATAACATAAATTTTGTTGAAAAATATAATACACATAATAGATATATAACGGTTTTATTAAAATAGATAATTATTTGTAAGCAAATTATGAACTTTATGATTTCCTTTTTTTTTCTTTGTTTTTGCCATAATGTATTAAATCAACGAATCAAAATTCAAGAACAAAATATTAAAATACAATAAATTAAATAATACAGAACAAAGCAAACCAATGTGGTTTTTTCTTTGGACTATACAGAATAACAATTTAATTTGTATACCTACTCTTGTCCAAATTTTTGACAATATCTTGTTGGATTTGTGGCAGCCTGTTTTTTACAAACTCAGTCAATTCCTTACCAGGTGTCCTAGTGCCATGCCTTTGGACCAGCCAAATTTTCGACGCATTACAACCTAACGGTGAAAACGAATAAGACTATAGCGAAATGCATAAAAAATAATAATGCCACACGACACATATGCAATAATTTAAATATCAGTCAAACCAAGCAGTTCACTGGTCACCTTCAAAATGTATGGGTTCTGCATTGTAGTTGGCCACATATCTATAGGGCGTTTTAGAAGCGAGATGTTGAGAAAAACTGTCATACAATTTGTTGCAACTGCCATCACTACGTATGTGACCGATTGAACAGCTCAACAACACAACCAGGGTGACTAGCACAGACATGGTGTGAACGGTATCCAGACTTTTTTTGTTTGAAAAACAATAACGAAACGATAAAACTGTCACTCGATATAAAATCATATAAACTATAGACGTGTACGTGTGTCAGTCATTGCGTCTAGACGAGAACCCACTTATTGATGGCCCCACAAGACGGCGACCTTCGGTTACGAATGCATTTTTAACAAAAGAAAAAAAAACGGTGACAATTCATCGTGTTTACTATGATCAAGACACTGTTGATGATAACGGTACTATCACTTGTTCCGCGGAGTTATCATTACTCGTTGGATTCGTCCGATCCACAAACATATAAAATCATATTACTATAACGATACATTTTTATACATCTGTGGTCCATGAATTGACATAAATTTATTCATCCCGTGATCCGATCCTTCGGTACTCATCAGTTTTCATCGTCTCACGGTTCCCCGACCACAGATAATAATGTAATATAGTAATAGATATGTAATATTATATTATCTATGTGTCCGTCGCCCACGGCATCGTTATCAAACATATACAAATTCCGATCGGACGTTTTTATAAATCAACGGTTTTATGAGCAGTCATTTTATAATTCAATATTTAAAAATGTCCCAATGGACGTGCGATGTGGGTTGTTGCTCGGACGACTCGTCGAACTGTAACTGTTGTTGAAATATCGTAAGACCCATCGTTACGGTTCGCTGTAATGTGCTGAACCATTGTCGGGTAAGATGGTTCAATAAAAAAATTATCGTAGTTTACAACGAAACGAATAAATATCAAAATTAATATATTTCTATTCTTCTCGCCCACTCTGCTTCATTAGATTCACCGTTAATGGTTCGGATGATTTATTATTATCTGTCTTTAGATGCACATTGCACACGTTTCAGTTGCGCCTTTTTTCTGCTATCGTCGAACGGATCTGTAACGTTTCAATACCATGAGCCGATTTGTCCTAAAAAATATTAATTATGTGATTAAAAATGGTCTTATACACGATGTAAAAAATAAAACGTTTAACCAAGAAATTGTAAATGCCCAAGGTAAGAAGAGATCAATGTATTAATACTGAATTATAGATATATATTATGGTACCTATCCATTTTTAATCCAAAGAATCTTCTAGCTGCAGTTTTAGTAACTCGAAAAGTATCATAGTTTAACAAATCTTGAACATTTTATTATAATATATTGATATACTGCCTAAGTATTTCATTGTATTATCAAGAAATAAGTTTTCTTCTGCTTATCTTAATAAGATTTGTGTCTTATGAAAATGCTGATTTTTTACTAACAAGATTGACTTAAAATATTCCTTTGTAGTCAGTAATGTATATAGGGGAGGAGCCTAGTGGGCTACAGCCCTTCTTCGAAAATGTTTTAAAAAACTTAAAAATTATTTTAAACATATATTATATTTTTGCTTTATGTGCGTCCACCATCAAATCGTTTTGGGACATTCAGTAAATGAAATGTAGATAAGTACCTACAGTATCTGTCCATAGTAGCCCCTCCCAAAAATATTTTCTGTATACTCCACTGTTTGTAGTATTTGATTTATGCATAAACATATGGGATTATAAATGTTAATTCCATTTTTATTAACTTACAGTTTAATATTAATTATCTGTATAGATGTTAAACCAGATAGTTATATTTAATTATTAGATTTATACTAAATATTTATCTTTACATTTTTTTCAGATAATTTTATTATTAAAATAGAATACAAAACATTTGATGATATATATGTTTTATATCATACTGAAGTACCAGTAAGACATAGAGGTCATGATCTTGGGTCTTTGATTGCTCAAGTTCGTATAAATTACTAACATTTTATTATTTTGTCATTTTTATTAGTATTAACCTGTTAAATATTTGTTTATTTTAATATGATTATGTTTTTGTGATACCCTCCTTTAGGAGAACCCTAAAAGACAACCTACTAAATAAAGTATTATATTTTGTTACCATGGAAACTTAATAAAAAGTTTATGATAATAGTGTTTTAACTGCCTCTTATGCTTTATATTTGTCAACAAAAGTTTGTATAAATTATATTTTATTTTTACTTAAAAATTTAGCTAATTAATATTTATATAGAAAATATCTAATTAAAAAATATTTTTAAATCTACCAAAAATAAATTAATAATAAACTATAATTATAAAATAAAGTAATTGATTACATTACCTTTTAGTTAACAGTTTTTTTTTATCAACCTTAAATATTAGTTGTAATTTCTTTACTTTTTTTTGTGTTAAATAATATTTTTTTAAATTTTTAAACTTATTTTCTATTTTTTGTTTTTGCAGGAAGTATTTGATTATTTAATTCAAAATAACACAAAGACAAATTTACATTGTCCGTTTCTTTTAAAGTTCAAAAAAAAATATCCAAATGAAAAGTTGAACATTGTTCCAGTGTTACCAAAGGCTATTAAATAGTTGAACTAACCATGATTATGAATGTACAATAAATTACAAGTAAACATTGAAGATATGTTATAGTTATTATTGGAAAAAATGGATTATGAACTTGTGCAGTATTATCTAAGAAAAAAATATTACTATAGCGCTCAATTAGCTGGTAATAGAGCTCTACAAATTAATCAAAATAGTTATGTAAACCAACTGTATTATGGGCTTTCATTTGTGCTTCATAATAAACTATCAAAAGGTCTGACTATACTTGATACCTTAGTTAAAGTTACTGATGTTGGATTACCTTCTACATTGGTTTTGATCCATACCCATAAACAATTTGAGGTAGGTACTTAAACTAAAAATAAGAAATGGTGGATTATTAGAACTATAATTTACCTATTTTGATTTTTTTATTATTCTTACATTATAGGTTCAAGATACCAGTACAATAAACACATTAGAACAATATGTCAATGATTATAATCATTCGGAAATTGCTCTATTCCATGCTGCAAATGTTTTAATTCTCTGTGGTTATAATCAAAATGCTAAGACTTATGTTGATAAGCTTTTATCTGAATATCCTAGTTCAGTTGATGGGTATTTAGTTAAAGGTTGGTTAGAATTTCAAGATAACAAATTAAAAAATGCTAGAAACTGTTTTAGAGCTGTTTTATCCCAGGTGAGCAAATTTTTCTCATGAAATTAATTTTTTTAGTGTCAAATTATTATTTCATTTATAACCAAAATATTCATTCTAGAAAACTGATTCAATTGAAGCATACCTTGGTGAAGTTGCTACCTTAGAAATTACTGATGCTATTCAAATGTTAAATCAACTCATTGTCAAATTTCCAGACTTTCTACCACCTTTTCTTGAAAAATTATATCTGTACATGAGCATACGTAATTGGTCTGAAGTTCTTGAAACAATCGATCGTATACTGGACATAAACCCAAAATGCATTTTACCTTTGATGGTTAGTAAAAATATTTGAAAAATTATTTAGTTATGATAGTAAACTAACTTTTAATTATTTTTAGGTAAAAATTCTGTACAATTTAGCTGTAGTTGGAAAATATGAAGAAGTACCTGACCAGTTTTTTATGTCCATTGAAGAGTTAGAACCATGCTCGCATATATTTGTCCAATGGTCTTCGGCTATTGTACGAATTTGTGGTCAACATAAGTTGATCATCAATGAATGCATACGAGCCATGCAAATTGCTGTTGATTTGGATCCGAGTATTAATAACAAACTTGAACTTGCATATCAGATATATTTGTCTGGACAGTATGAAGAAGCAATAAAAATCTATGCTGATCTTATAAAAGATGAAGAGCACATTCCTAAAGCAATAGAAGGCATAGTTCTATGTCATATTGCTATGAACAACATAAATGTTGAAGTAAATATTATATTTAATTTTATCAAGTTATCATATTTCATTAAAAATATGCTTGAATGATTTATTAATTGTTAATTTTAGGTTGAAAAACAAATTGAATTGTTAAATGAAATTAGAGGAGAATTAAAATCTATTGAGCTTATCTTCATAAACGCATATTTTATTAAAAACAATGAATCAAAATCTAATTTAATAAAATCAGCAATTGATAAACAGTTTGATTCTATCACTAACTTGTCATTTGGTCCAGAGTACCTTATTAAACTTAATCCAAATATGATTATGTTCTTCATGAAATACTTGTCTGATAGCATTTATAAGGAAATCGCTTTAGAAAAATTACTTAGTATTTGTCCTGGACTTATCAATGGTTGGATAATGCTTGGTAATATTCAAAATATAAAAAAAGCTCATCAATCATTAGAAAGGGTATTAGAATTAGATTCAACAAACTCGGAAGCACATCTTATGGTTGCTAATCTTTTTATAAAGCAGGTAACTTAGTGTTAAGCATATTCATCTTAACATAAATATTTATGATTTTTATTTTGTATTTATAATATTGTTTATTCCCAGGGGAATTTTGCAAATGCATCTAAAAGTTTAGATTTAGGTCTTAGTTATAATTTATCCATCAGTGAGTGGCCTTTATATAATTTACTAAATGGGCTTGTTCATAAACATTTTGGAAAAGATAATGACTGCATACAAGCACTGGAAAATTCTTTGAACAATTTGTCAAGTAATTAATTTAATTGGACCTAATTATTAAACATATTGATAATAATTTGTTATTCACTAAATATATTGTTATAGATAAACAACATGCTCTTGAACACAATGATTTATCTTCTTTATTTATTACATTAAGTGAATGTTATTGTAATGTAGAAAAAATAGATAAGGCCATTCAGACTGTGAATGATGCTTACAAATATTTGAAAGATACAAAGTATGAAGGAGAAATTAAATTAGCTGAAGCCAAAATTGCTATGTGTAAAAATGACTTAAAAAGTGCTTTAAAAATTTTAAATGCAATAAAATCTGATCAAGACATTTTTATTAAAGTACACTTGTTTTTATTTTATATTTTATTTACCTATTGATTTGATTTAGATAATTAATGTCGTTTAAATGGTATTCATTTTTAGGCTCAAAAAATGAAAGCAGATATATTTATGAAAACAAATCAAGATCCGTTTGAATATGCAGAATGCTATAAAAATTTAGTAGATTCTTTTCCAACTGTTGAAAATATGGTTGAACTAGCAAATGCGTATCTAAAAATTCAGGTACTAATAAAACATTAATGTTTTTTGGGTTTTCATTAATTAAAATTAATATTTGTCTCTTTAGGAACCTGATGAAGCTATTCAAGTAATTAAGAAGGCATTGAGTTTAAAGAATGAACCTTCAATGTTCATAAAAGTTGCACAAGTATTTGTTGCTGCTCATCAATATGAAGATGCCATAAAATACTATAATAAATCTGGTGAGTAGTTTTATATTCACATAAGAATTAATTAAATGCTGAATGATTTTTTAATTCTATTTAAATAGGTATAGATGGTGCTTTGGAGATGGCTAATCTCTTAATAAAGTTGAACCAATGTGACATGGCAATTAAAGTTTTAAATTCTCTCCCATTGGAAATGAAAGTTATTCCCATGGCCAATGTATGTTTATCATTATATTATTATTGAGTTAAAATATAATTTTAACATTTTATGTTGAAAAATATTAAACTTTTAAATATAAGTTTAAAAATGTATAATTTATGTATAATAATTAGCCAACTAAACAAATTACTAAAGAATATATCTATATCAAACTTCAGTTTTATTTTCTATGCTAAACAATACTACCATGTTTGTCGCTAGCTGATTTTAATAAATAATTATACTTAATTTAATCGTAATTTGAAAAAAAAAAACAATAATGATTAGTTAATAATTATAAATTTGTATGTACGCATAGTATTTTGGAAAATTATACTTTAAAAATTTGTCTGTTAATAATTGATATTTCACTATGTGTTAAAAACGTACTTTGTAATAATGTATTTATTTAATGAATATTTATTACTATTCTATGGTTGTATATCTGTTTTGTGATTTTCAGGCTTTGGAAAAAAAAGGCAAATTGGATGAAGCTCTTGATTTATTAAAACAATGTTCTTATCTTGAAAACCAAGATTTGAACAGTCGATTAAATATATTGAGACGTAGTGGTGAAATAGCTCATAAGTTAAATCAAAATGATCTTGCCATTTCTTTGTATAAACAAGCTCTTATACATGTAAATGCTGACAGTGAAGATGCAAGTTCATTGAAGATAAGTTTAGCTAAATTGTTCATGCAAGTAAGTTAAAATTATAAATATACTTTACAGTGCACCTTAATACTTGACTTCACATACAATAATAAAATCAATAAAATAAGTATTATTATTTTTATCCAAATAAGTACTTAATAAATTATAATTTTCAGTTTAGATAAATTACTGTGTTGAACTATTAATTACAATTATTATTTTTGTCAAATAATAAAATTACTAAAACTGATTATTAAATATTAGAATAGTAAATATTGTTAAACCTGTAATATGTATATGTAATGTTTTAATTTTGTAGATAAATGATTGGAATTCATGCGAACTGATTTGTTCTTCGCTGCTCAAGGATACAAACAATGATATAGCATTGCTAATTGTAGCTGACTTATCATTCAGACGATGTGATTTTGTAACAGCTAAAAAACATTTTTATAAACTTTTAGAAAAGCAACCCACTAATTGGGCTGCTCTAGCACGACTCATTGAAGTCTGCCGCAGAACTAACTGTTTGGAAGAGGTGAAAACTTCTATGGAAGTTGTGCACAATCACACCACCCAAGCTGGATTTCATTATTGCTGTGGTTTATATAACTGGTATGGATCAAATATTAATGATGCAATGAAGCATTTCAATTTGGCCAAAAACGATGCTGAATGGGGACAGCAAGCACTGCACAACATGATTCAGATTTGTTTAGATGAAGCTACATTGAATTTAAACTTAGCTAACAAATTAATAACGGTACTAATATTAACAATCGATATTTGATTGTACACTACACGTCATTTTTTGTGGCATATTGTATGAATGATTTTTTTCCCAGGAAATGAAACCCAATACACCAGAGGAACAAAAAAATTATAAACTATTGTCCAGTTACATTTTATTAGAATCCAAGGAAAAACAATCCATTGAAAAAGCGATAAGTGTTTTTAATGAGTTATCACAAGAGTCGTATAAGTAAATCTGTCGAGATCCGAAACTTTTGTTCTTACGAGTGTACAATAATTTTGAACTTACAGAATTGCTGCATCACTTGGATTGGCAATGGCTTTTGTTTATCAGAAACAAATTCAAAGGGCTAAGACCATATTAAAAAGAGTCGTTTTAAAAGCTACTTGGCAATTTGAAGAAGCCGAATATTTAGAACGCAGTTGGCTACTCATGGCAGAGTTGTATTTTCAATCGGGCAAGACAAATGTATGTGTTGAGTTAGTCAATAAAGTTCTTGTTTATAACAAATCGTCAGTCAAGGGCCTGGAACTGTTAAGTGCCGTAGCGGAAAAAGAACAAAGATACGGTATATCACTTTTCTGATTTTTAGCATATTATTTTATTTCTAAACTTTTTACGTAACTACGTTTAGACGATGCTGTGGATTATTACGAACAAGCGTGGGTGTTAAGTGGACAAAAATATTTCAAAATAGGATACAAACTGGCCGTAAACCTTTACAAATTGAAGTTGTTCACCAAATCGATTGAGATATGTTTCGATTTGAACCCTTCGAATCCCGAACAGATGAAGCTAAAAAAAGATATAATGGACAAAGCAAGACTATCGTTGCGATCACGATAATATTAGTTGTCCATCACGCGTTGATAATTCTACGGATTTTATAATCGTTTTGGTTACGATAATTTTGTATGTTTATAGAGAGAAAAAATTCACGAATAGTCATTGTAAAATTGTAGATAGTTTCTAAAATACTTGTGCCTGTGTTAAATTATATATTTTGGTATTTTGTTTACTTTTATTTCCATTACTTGCGTTCGTTGTTCACCCTAATACGTGACCAATGCATGACACTTGTGCGATGAGGTTAGTACACACTCGCATAGATTAAATATATAGTGGAACCTCGATAACTCGAACCTCTATAAGTAAAATTTTTGATAACTCGAAGGAATGCCTTGGCCCCTGCCTTACAATATATGCGTGATAAATTTTATCGATAATTCGAATTTCGCTAACTCGAATTTCTCGATAAGTCGAAGTAATTATAGTTGAATTTTGGCTTATAACTCAAATTTATATAATAATATATAACACGTACATAACTCGATAACTCGAAGGTCAAATAACCAAGTGTAGGTATTATTATAAATAACGATAATCGTAATTGAAAACCGTTTAATATTATCAATCTAATATTTACCTAATGCTTAAAAAGAATAGTTATAAATCCAACGATATAATATGGTTTTGCCTAAAACTACTCTTGCCCAGGCATTATATAGTTTACGTAAGTATTACGCATTATAATGTACGTAAGTACATTAACAAGAATAACAGGAAATTGGAGAAAAGCTTTTTTCCGCGCTAATTGTTATTGAAATCTTTACGGATAGGTCAAAAAATAATAATATATCAGATTTCTTTAAAAAATAGTTCCACTTTAATCATTACATTATATTTTCTTTATTACATGCATACAGGGCCTGATTAAGGAGTTGGTCACCAGTAGGCTAGGGTTGATTTGGCGCCTCTATGAATGATCGGAGTGGTTGGAGGGTAAAACGAGGATTAAGAAAACGTAAAAACAACAGACTTTTTTTGTTTAAAATAAAACGTGTTTTATATTTAATAAAATTATATACAAAAGCATTTAAAAAATTTTAGTTTATGATTGAACTAAATATTATTCATTTTAAAAAGATTTTTCCTTGATTTTAACGCTGCGAAAGACTCTACTATTTCATCGAAAGAAATATTGTTCATGAATTCACTTTCAATAAACTAAAGTGCAAGGGTCTTCATTTTATCCTGGCGTAAAGAAGATCTTAAAAAGTTTTTCACCCGCCCTAGAGCAGAAAAAGATTTTTCTCCGCTACAATTTGTGACGGCCATACTCAAATATATTCTTAGAGGCACTTCAATATTTGGAAATAGTGACTCTATCTTCAAGGATTCTAAATGGCTCAAAAGTCTGGAGGCTTTAGATCTCATTTTCTTATTTCCACCTAGAACTTTTGTTTCTTCATAATATATTTCATTTTCTTGTAAAAATGTTTGAAGATACAAACATTTTTCGGGAAATGTTAAGTCCAAGTCTGAAGGGTACATGTTTAGCAAGTTGTTTGCTTTTCATTTCAAGTCAATTTTTTCCACTTCATTCATGTTTCATAAAAATCCGAAAGAATTCCTCAGCTGCAAATAAACATCTTTTCTTCTCGCTAGGTGACTTTTAAGCGTATCAATCGCGCTATAATAGCTATCTGTTATAAATGACTTACGTCCGTTAAACTCGGTGTGCTCTTTTTCACTTTCACCATAAGGTAACTTCAATTTATTTTTTCTTTGAGTATTTTTTTTTATAATTCTGAGAACCACACATTGACTTTGCTTTACTTTCAAAAGTTAAAAATTGTTCTTCATTCCTTAGTGACATTAAACACGATTCAAGTATTTCGTACAGATTTACCGTCTGATCTAAGTCTACATTTTCACCTTGAAGTATTTTACTGACATCTTGAAACTTTGTGAGGATTTCGTTCCAAAAGCAAATCATTAGTGTCATTTCTAAGGACTTAAGTTTTTCAGATAGTTGTTTTGCCTCGAGTTGATCTTCTTTACTATTTTTCGTACTTGTACCAATTTCTATTAAAGCTGTAGTAATTGGTTTATAGCATTTGTACATAGCCTTACTAGCATCGGCACATGCACTCCATCTAGTCTTTGAGAGAGTCTTTGTCGTAATGAGATAATAGAATATCCCATCTTTTGGTGGAAGAGTGAAAAAAGTTATACAGTTGCTGTTCTAGAGCAAAACATTTTGTAGAATTTCAGCTACTTCCAGCTGTTGCAGAGCCTACTAACTGTAGTGAATGGCCTGCACAAGGAACATAGCGCGCTAATGGATTAAGCTCTTTAATTCTGTTTTGCAGTCCCTTGTAGCAACCTGGCATATTGTAAGCGTTGTCGTAACTTTGTCCCCTGCAGTCATTTATATTTATATCTAGAGTTTCAAGCATAGAAACCACAGCTTTTTCCATATCTTCACTAGTGGACGGCATCGTCACTTGAATTTCACTTTTGCTTTTGCTACTTTCAACCAGAACACTCTTCACTGAGGCATCTAATAATGATTCAGAAGAATCATTATTAGACGTTGTTTTAGATTTACTAAAAAACGAATCAAGTGAAGGCATTTTTTTCAAAAGTGCATCTTCCCGCTCACTACGTTCTCGAGCCCTTTTTCGATACTCGGAACCACTTGGTTTTTTATTTTCACTCATATTAATAAGCTGTTTGTAAATTGTATTAAAAAATATACCAATAAAATTATAAATAATTGGTACGTACGCACACGCGTCAAGAATTAGTAATAAACGATCGGAATAAATTGACTATATCGGTTCGGAGTGCGGCGGAGACTAGTGATTACTACGGCCGACGATGGTAAAGATATAATATATTATTGACCGAGAAAAAATATGAATAGTACAATATTACCCGTTGTCGGGTCGCCTCACGCACACACAACAATATTATATATATAATATTAGTGGATGTGGGATCGCTCGGTCGTCGGTGGGATAAGCCCGCGACGATTACAAGAAATAGATATATGACAAATAACGTAATATATTGCAATAGTCGACCGGGCGGAAATTCGTTGCGGCGACGCGGTAACGGGCACGGCGAATAGGCCGCAGCATTGAACGTGTAATAACGAAAATATAATTTTTTTTTTTTTTAAGTATATATTATGCAAAAATTCTACATTCGTAAAAAAAATTTTTGTGGCGCCCCCAATTTAATGTTGACCGATTGGCACCCTAGGCTGTAGCCTACTTAGCCTATTGGTTAATCAGGCCCTACATACATATACATATTTATTACTTAATATTTTTTTAAAGTTTTAATGCAATATACATTTTACGTTTATTAGTAAATATATAAATAAATAAAATTATAAAATAAATTCTTTGTGTTTTAAATAAAAAAATATTTTCGGCAACTCGATTTTTTTTTTACCAATTCGAATTAATGAGGTTTTCCATAAGTCAAATTTACGATAACTTGAATTTTTTTTTTGTCTCTAACCGATTCAAGGTATCGAGGTTTCACTGTATATAACTACAAAATACCTATTGCGAATGTAGTTTAATTCTAACTCTTGAATTCTCAAAAACAGACATTGTGCAATCTAAGTTACAAAACGTTGAAGCTATGTTACATTGCGATCACACAAAAACATTACTCATTAACATCACAACAACATATTCAACAATTGTTCCATTGAAATAATATACATGATTGATTCAGTAACGCATGGGCGTCACTCAAGTCCAAATTCTGGGGTAGTCAAGTTTATTTTTAGAAAGTTAAATAATAAATTTTTAAAGGTTTAACATGATAACTGGCTAACTTTTCTTTATAAATCTTGACGTATCTATGACATATAATGGGTACAGTGTACAGTCATACGAAGTGTACACTGCCTTATTATCCGTATTAGACTTATCACAAATATAATTATTTTGGATACAATCACAATAATAGATGGTTTATGTTCGTGCACACTTGAATAATAAACTTTGAATATTTTTAAAATCTATAACTTTTTGTGTGGTAGAAAAAAGATACCCTTGCTTCCTGCTTAAACCAGTAGCGTAGCCAGGATTTTTCAATGGTGGGAGGGTTTACGGTTTAGGTCTATACAATAGGTTGGTATACATAAAACATATTATTTTAAATTTTCTTGTACTTTATTTAAAGTCAAACAATATTTTAATTACATTAAAACTTACATCAAACGTAGTTTTCTTGTTTTGGTCGCTAATTTATTTAGAACATTATCAGGGTTTATCATTATATCACTGTATATTCATCATTGCCAAACCATTCAACCTATTTTCACATGTAGCGTTTCATAAATATGTTTTCAATCTTTTTAATGTTGAAAAAGATCGTTCACCGTTAGCAATTGTAACCGAGAGAGTTGCTAAAATATGTAAAAGTTTGAAAGTAGAAGGGAAAATTGATATGTTACATTTTTTAACAGCGTCATTAGTTCCTATTAGAGCGTTTTTAGTTCCTGTAAATTTTTGTTGCCAAATTTTAATTTCACTCACAACTGCTAACACGCTGCAATCTAAATGGCCTTGATGCATTTCAACAAGCTGCTTAATTTTTTCTTCGTATTGTATACTTTTGGATGATGGTAAAATAACGGTTAACATTTTCAATTATAGATCTATGAGATAAAAATCGATTATTTGATTTAAAAAAATGATCTATAAATGGTACGAATAAAGATATTCTGTAATAATCCTCAAGGTGCGATCCAACGGCGCGTGACGCGTCATTCGACTGTATACGGTGCAACCACGAACGCGCTTCTGCGTGATCCCACGGCGCGTAGCTCGGCTATTCCAATACACGCGCCGCGCCAATTTCCTTTTGACGCGGGACACAAAAACCGACAATCATCGGGAACGGTCGCGCCACACCAATCCCACGGCTCGTTCGTTGTACCGCGCTATACCAAGCCACGCGCCGTGGGATCGCACCTTTAGGCAAATCAACCTGGATATTGCATCTGTTTTTTTGCTTAGTAGTTGTACGAGGAATAGATATTTCAATGTTTAAGGCATCACATTTAGATTTTACATTATTAAATATGATATTAAATTCACTTTTATCGTTTAAACTTAGTTGTTTGATTATTCACGTACATTATACGTGTATTATCTGCGTCATCAGCGGTTTGAGTACCTTCAACCAGATCTATATTCTTTGTCTGAAGAA